AGGAAGTCTGAAATTATTTCCAGCCCTGCTGTTCCTGAGTGTTAGCTCATAGTGCAATGTGGCTGCTCATTAACACTCATCTCCTCTTTTCAACAGAGACTCCGTTGTGGAAATACTGTTTGAACAGGATAATGAAGAGACATCTGTTGCCACCTTGATCTTAGATTCACTCATTCAGGTATTTTGATATTAGAAACAATGTATTGAAGGCCTCCAGCCATGAAGAACCTGCTGTTACGACTCTTTCTCGAGTAACACCCTTCTGACTACAGGTTGTGATTGGCTGAAAAAATGCAGCACAGCATGACTCCTGGGGTTCTGCCACAGGGAGTGGCTGGGTGGATAGCAAGTTGTCCTGTGTCATCCCCTCTGTGATCTTAGTTGTGCTTCTGTGTGTTTGAGAGTTTCCTCAGAAATGTAGTGCTCACCTCTCAGCAAAAGCAACCGACTGGCTTGCATTTCTTTGGGGGTGAGGCTCTCTGTATGGAATGATGAAGAAGAGGCTGGTATTTGGTGTTACAGGCATTTAACTGCTTCAACTGAAATGACATAGGTGTTCTGTTCCTTCTTTGTTCAAGGTGTTTTGCTCAGAGTTAGATTTTGAGTCCTGTAGACTCCTGGTTTACCTAAGATAGAATAAAATTTATTTGGACATCTGTATTACAGACAGTGTTTTAGATTAAATTATGAATACTTTTCTTGGCATATACAAATGCTTAATATATTTAGGACAGAAAATGTCTTAGAAGACCACTATAATTGGAAATTTTAATTATGTGGTGGTGTATATATATTAATTAAAGTTTATTTCCTGCAGCTATTGATGCCATTTAAATTAGTTTTCTGAGACATAATTTATTGGAGAGCCATAGCTTGGATGACATGACAAATATTCCATGAGGATTTCTTATAAAAACAAATTGTTTAACAAGATCTGTGCCTGCACCCCTCATGTTGGTACCTCCAGGCATTTACCTTGCATCACTCTTTGGCCAGAGGAAAGACAAATGTTAAATTTATAAGTGTTAAATAGTGATTTCTGTTGGACAAGAGGGTCACAGCAGTCTGGAAATTTTCTCAAAGGGAAAGTGCAGATCTGCTTGTGAGGGGCAGAACTGACAAAGCTTGGTCTTATCATGCTGTTTTTGTCTTCTACTTGCATTGTCTGATGCCTGAGGCAGGCTCCAACAGACACCTTTTCAGCCACTGAGACTTCTGGAGGGCCCTTTTCCCACATGGAGCTAGAAAGGGTCTGTCGCATTTGCAAGGTGTGGAAGGTGTCCCTGCCCATGCAGGGGAGTTGGAACTAGATGATCTTTAAGGTCCCTTCTGGGATTCTATGTAACAGTTTTCCCTCTCTGAGAGCACTGGTTGATCCTTCACCTCTGTCTGGCACATCTTCTCCCGGAACTGGGAGTTACTACCCCTGGCAACTCTCTCCTCCATTGTCTTGGCCTGTCTCAGCTGAAGGATTTTACAGGGCCTCACAGTGTGCCCGGAAGAGTCTCAACTGGGCAGTTCCTCCAGTCTGGTTTTCTTGGGAAGTCTGGGGGAAAAATATTGCGTTGCTTGTGTCTCAGCTAAGTATGAGAGAGCAGCAATTGAAGTGTGTAGAAAAGGCTGAATTTCCAACAGGCCTCTGAATGTTCATTCATGCAGCTGCAGTTAAAGTGTTGGTTTGGGTTGTTTTTTTTTCTTTATTCCTGTTTGCATTAGTGTCCCATAGACACCAGGAAGCAGTTGGCAGAGAACTTGGTCGTTATTGGTGGCACTGCCATGTTGCCAGGATTCCTTCACAGGCTCATGGCTGAAATCAGGTACCTGGTAGAGAAACCAAAATACAAAGAAGCACTTGCCACTAAAACCTTCAGAATCCACACTCCACCTGCCAAACCCAACTGTGTGGCCTGGCTGGGAGGTAAGATTGAAAGAAAAAACAAACCTTCCAAGTGGGGTTTGTAATGAGGAAATAGCATTAAAACATAAGTGAACTATTGAAATCAAGCTGCCTTATAGCTCGGTGGAATTGTTACGCCCTCCTGGAAGAAACGTTGCAGAGCGAAGCCCTCTCGGGGACATTGGGAGGGCAGGATGGCACCGCAGGTGGTGGGAGCTTTGAAGAGGTGACAATTGGCACCAGCGGCGCTGGAAGCAGAGGGGTTGGCTGAAGCGCAGTGCGGGGCTGTCGCCATGGGGTGGCACCAGTCCAGTGGTGCGGCAGCGCAGCGACCTGCAGCACAACCTGCTCGTTAAAAACCCCCTTAATTACCCACTGAGGAGCTGTGAGCCCCGGGGAGGCCGGAGGCTGCTAATTTGCTGTGCTGATCCCAAGTGCCAGTAACAAAGACAGCAACTCTCTGATGGATTTTGGATGCTGTGCTGGCAAGCTGGGAAAAGAAGGGCTTTCCATTTCTAGCAGCATTTTTTGTTTCAGGAAGGTCTGAGGTTCAGAAGAATGAATGCTTTTCTAAGCTTTTGGTATAAAAGCTGAGCCCACGTGGTACATATGAGGATCTAACTTTAACTCTAGAGGTGCATTTTCTTTCCATATGTATGGAAATGTAAATGTTTGTAAGATTTTAGTTTTAGAACCTTTTGAGTCTACTTTTAGCAAACAAAAAATATTTATGTGGACCAAGATCTCTGATCCTTTTCATCCCTGGCAGCACCAGTCAGCTGCTGTGGTCTGAATCTTCTCACAGCTTGTATAAACTTCTTCTGGATATTCCATTGTGCCCTTTTTGGGGAGAGGAAATTTCCTGAAACACAAGGTGGTTTGTTTGAAGTGCTTAAAATAAAAACTTCCAGGAAAACTTGTAGGATGCAGGTCAGCTAGCCCAGTTTTGTTCTCAGCAAAGACTAGTTGATTCTTTGTTTTGAGTTGCTTTGAAGGGACATAAATGGAAGCAACTTGGGACTCTCTAGGTTACTGAAAAGGAAGACAGCTGGATCCTTTCATTCCTTTAATTTTTGGGACAGAGCTGAAAAAAAAACAAGTTGAGATTCTTGATGGGAAGAAATAGAGAAAGAAATTCAGTGTGTCAAATTAAAGCAAGTTTTATTTTTTTTCTTTTCCCCAATAATATAGGAGCCATCTTTGGAGCACTTCAGGACATACTTGGGAGCAGGTCTGTGTCCAAGGAATATTACAGCCAGACAGGCCGTATTCCTGACTGGTGCTGCCTTAATAATCCTCCACTGGAAATGATGTTTGATATTGGAAAAGCACCCCCACCTTTGATGAAGAGGGCTTTTTCTACAGAGAAATAAGAACCTCAACACTACACAAGGATTCTCCTCATCTATTTCAAGTAGCTATATGTGCATTGCCTTTTTTTTTAAAGTCATTTGTGTGTAACTATTAAATATTAACAATGTAGATATTTGGGGTTGGGGGGACAGTGGTAGATACTAACACTATTTAAAACCACGTCCAGTTATAGTTTAAAAACTGAACTCTGGCAACTACTAAGACTGTTTTGTTGTCTTCTGAAGGAATTCTGTGCTGTCCTGAGTCGCAGCCTGGGAAGTTGTTTGTTATTTATCTGTACAGTAAGTGACATTGTTGAGAGAATTTGTTTTAAGGTATTTTGATTTTAAATATGCTTAGAAGAATGAAGGGCTGTCTACCATGGGGAAACATCTACGGAAGTTTTTCTGCCAAATTCTGTATTAAAATGTTCCACCCTTGAATCGTGTGAGGAGGTGATTTGGGGCTGTTAGGCAAAGGTGCTGGAGCAGTATTTTCCCTGGACCCAGTCCTGTTTTGAGAGTTTCAGCAGAGTGTATTTGATTGCCACAGTTAATAAAGCAAAATGGATAAACCCACGGATTCTGGAGGCCAGGCTGCTGCATCCCTGTTCTGTGATGGGATTACAGCCTGGCCCAACAGAGGCTGCTCTCTGGCAAAGGCACAGAGAGCCTTTAGGGAGCCTGTTTTTAGGCCTGGGTTAAGGATATCTTGACCCAAGCTCTGCTCCTCATTGTCACTTATCATCTGAATCACAGGGATGCAGCTCCATGACCCAGGTTGTGTCTTGCCTCAGTAAGAACTGAGCCAGAGCCTTCCAAGACTTGCTCCTGAAAGAAGAGTTTCCCATCAGCATGAATCCCATGTTGCTAGGAGGAATTCCTTGTGTCCATACGTAGTTCTCAGTGGGAATGATAATGCAGGGGAGATGAAACTCCTCCAGAACCTGTGGTGGTTCAGTGATGCCATTTTCCTGACCTGCAGCTGTGGAAATTCAGAGTACTCTTAGCCCTTCTCGTTTCAAGGGTGATTCTGTACTGATGTGTCTGTGTACCCTGGGACCTTTCCCAAGCCCAGCATGTTCTGCTACCTCGTCTTCATTCTGCCCATGCTTTTTTTCTCCCATGGGGTTTCTGCATCACTGAACAGCTTCAACAGCTGCTATTTCATGCTGCGTGGCCTGTTACTGGCAGGTTTAATTAAGTACAGGGTCCTGTGACCTGCTAAGGACAGAAGGAGCATTCTTATTTCATTAGGGGTAAGACTGTTACCTGCTTTTCAGAATGACTAGTCCTGGAAAGCCCTTAGACATCACACCTTAAATGTGTTGGTGTGTAGAAGGGGACTTGGCTTGTATTTTTTCAGGGTAAGTGTTGTAGTTCTTCCATCCCTGGCATGGCAGGGATTTGTGGATCCTCAGCAGACAAGTTTATCAGGAAGGACAGTGACAGACATGATCCCCTGCAGTAAGAGGAGGTTTTTCCTCTGAACTGACTGATGCTGGCCTGGATGTCATTCCTGAAGGTTGTCCTGCTTACAGGAGGAATATTTTGCTGGATTCACAAGCATGGCCCACTGCAGCCTGCCTGGTATCTGCAGTGTCTGTGGGAGCTGGGCTCTTGGGGAAGGGGCTTTAACTCCTTCCCCTCATCTCCCTTTTCATAACATTCTAGAATATCTCAAGTTGGAAGGGACCCATAAGGATCATTGTGTCCAATTCCCTGTTTCTAGCAGGACTAATTAAAACTAAATCCTGTGACTTGAGAGCATCTTCCCTGGGCAGCCTGTTCAGTGACCGAGCACCCTCTTAGTGAAGAACCTCTCAGCCTTCTTTCACCAGGGAAGTGCCCTCTCATCCTTCAGAAGTCCAGGCTGAAGGAGCCAAGTGTCTAAGTGTCTTCAGCCCCTCCTCCTAAGTCTTGCCCTCAAGGCCTTTCACCATCTTGTTCCCCCTCCTCTGGACACAGTCAAAGGGTTTGATGTCCTCCTCATACTTCAGCCCCCAAAGCTGCACACAGGACTCCAGCTGGGGCTGCACCAGGGGCATGTCCACTGGGACAATCATCTCCTTTGGCTGGCCCTGCTGTGCACACACCTCTGACTCCAACGTGCAATCAAGTCTTGTCTCCAGCCTCTCGTCCCCAGTTCACACATAGAACCAGGATCAGCCCAGGCAGACAATCCAGCAGTGGCCCCTGCTACACTTCACAGGGTTGGTGGCTGCCCAGCTCTCCATTCAGATCTCTCTCCACCCTCGATTGACTCCAAAACTCCTCCTGGTTTATCCAGCTGCCTTCGGTTATTCAGTCCCTACACCCTAACAATTTGTAAAAAGACGTGTTTGTTTGCAGCAAACCAGCGGTTCTTCAGGCTGTAGCTGCTCCTGGGACGGGGCGGGGTTCTTGAGGTCCGGAGGAGAGGCTTCAAAACAAGGCGAGAGTCACAAAAACCGAACCCGCCCAACGTGGGGCTCGAACCCACGACCCTGGGATTAAGAGTCCCATGCTCTACCGACTGAGCTAGCCGGGCGCTGATGGATGATTTTGGGCCACGTGGTCTTGAGCACATGCGGCATGACGTCACGCGCGCGTCGGGCGGCGCGGGTTGGGCGGCGCGGCGGCCAATGGGAGCGCGCGTTGCTGGCGGGTGGGCAGCGCGGGGGGCCG